GGGTCTCCTGGCCCAGGAGGATGTCTGCTCGGCGACCCGCCTCATCCAGCAGCAGGTCGGTGAGGCTCGACCATGTGGTGCCGTTCGCCGTGATGGCTAGCGTGTGCTCGCTCTTCGGTTGCTTCGGCTTGACCACCCTCCTCCGTGCAGCTCGGACGGTGAGCAGTGCGTGCCCCGCAGGGTCGGTACCCTCTGCCGTCCAGGAGGCTCGGCCCGCAGTGAGCAGCGCGTGCCCCGAAGGGTCGGTACCCTCTGCTGCGGGCTCCGCTACCTGCTGCTCCTTGGCAACCTCGGGCATAACCCTCCGCCGCTCCAGTGTGGCTGGGAGAATCGGGAAGGGGGCCGTGAGTGCTCGCACCCTGCGGAGCTCCTCCTCCGACGCGACCTGCATGTCCATCAGCCCGTCCTGCCCCACCTCCAGGAACGCGTTGCTGTAGTTGGCGTCCTTGATGTGGTGCTGGTCTGGCCCGTGGTCCTTCACCGCTAGGATGCCGACCCGCTTGAAGTAGAGCACGATCTCGCCAATGAGCTCAAGTACCAGGTCCACGAACTTCGATACCGCCTGTGCGTTCAGCTGTACCTTGTGGGGCTCCTTGACTTGGCCCTTGACGAAGACCAGGCCTGCGTGCACCCTGGCGTCGCCCTTTGTCTCGAAGGGCGGTGAGGCTCGGGTCTCCTCGCGCGCTGAGGCTGGGGCGGCATGTAGGGCCGTAGCCCCGTCGTTATAGCCAATCCCCGCCTGGACCCCAAACAGTGGACGCCCTTGGCCAGGAGCTCCAACAGCAACCGATCCGTGGGGCTCTGGCTCTGCACCTCGGGCTCCGTCCGAAGCTGCGGCGACGACAGGTGGCGCACGAAGAGCATGTGGCGCAGCTTCATCCAGTACTGCCTGCGCCGCCTCCTCCTCACGCGGCCGCGGGACCTCGGCAGCCCAGGCGCAGTCGACCTGGAGTGGGAGGGGGGGCCCAGTGTCCCTGCCAGCGGACTTGAGCCCCCGCTCGATGATGGCTGCCGCGCCGCGGCTGCCTGCAGCAACTTCTGCCTCGCCGAGGAGGTGACGGGCCGCTGCGTCCTCCGCCTCCCACGCGACCTCCTGTACCAGGTCGGCCGCGGCGACGGTGCTGTTGCTCTTGCCCATGCTCGTCATGAGGACAAGGTTAGTACGGTCCAACTCGCATGCGCGCTGCGGCCCCGATGAGCGGGCTAGCGGCAAGGCGAGCAGCAACAGCGCGCAGCTCTTCCAGGTCCGTCGGCATGTCGGGCGCGGTGTCGGCGGGCCACAGCACGTTGAGCTCGGCGCGCAGCGCCTCCTCGGAGGCCTTGCCGATGGGGTCCTCGGTGCTGGGCACGGCTTGAGCGGCAGCTGCGCTCGCCGCTCCTGCAGGGGGGGGAGCTTGGCGCTCCGCGGGCACCACCAGCTGCGGCAGCAACTCCTCCAGGAGCTTGGACACTGCCTCCGCGTGGTCGCCGAAGCCGCGCTCCCCGCACTTGGCCACCAGCGCGGCCTTGTTGATGCCGAACGTGTGGGCGACCGCCCCCGTCTCGCTGCCTCCGTCAGCAGCTGGGCCAGCCTGAGCAGCATCAGCAGCCACCAGCTCGTGCACCACGGCCTTGGCACGGCCGAGCTCGGCCTCGCACTGCTCCCGCTGGGTCTTGAGCTCCTGCAGGCGCAGCTGCGCTGCTGCGACTGCCTCCTCCTGCTGCGCCAGCTTGTCGCCCGCCTTGGCCAGGGCGGCCTCCTTCTTCTTGACTTCCCGACGGGCGATCTGGAGCTTGGCGTCCGCGGGCTTGGCGTCATGCAGCTTCTTCCGCAGCTCGTCCAGCTCCGTCTGGAAGGATTCGATGACACCCTTGTAGATGCCACCCACGTCGTCGCGGCCCTTGAGCAGCTTGATCTCCGCCGCCAGCTTGTCGGCGCGCTTCCGCAGCGCGGCAGCACCTGCAGCTGGGGCCTCGACTGCTGAGCCATCGGTCTCCATGTCGCCATCCTGCGAGGACTTGCTGCGCAGCTCCTGCTCCAGCGCCGCAATCTTGTCCTCGTAGAACTTCTTGTACTTCGCCTCAGCTCGACTGTCGGCCACACTGGGCGCGCGCGTCGAGGGGGTACCTCCACCTGCTGGGCGGTTGCTGCCGAAACAGGCGCCCTTGTGCAGCTTGCATTTTGTACACCACAGGGATGAGCCAGGGTTCCACCAGCGCTCACCCTTCGCATTCTTGCAGCCGTCCTTGCAGCAGAACCAGTCGGGCTTGTCGCGCAAGTAGCCGCTGCCGACCGGACCGCCCTGTGGTGGCCTGCTCCCGCCATTGCTGCCCGCCGCCCAAGGGGCACGCCTGGCCGCCATTCTGCACAGCTCACAAGCACCGCCGCGGCAATCAAGTAGATTAAGCGGATGGCGCTCCCCCAGGAGCTCACAGGAAAACTGGAGGCTGGCCGCGGACTAGCGGTATCCCTTCTGCCTGGAGGCTTGCAGCCCCCCCAGTCAGACATCTTGAGCCAAAATAGCTACGGGAGGAGGACGAGGAGGAGGAGGACGAGGAGGAGGACGAGGAGGATGAGGACGAGGAGGACGAGGACGAGCAGGAGAAGGAGGAGGAGGACGAGGAGGAGGAGGACGAGGAGGACGAGGAGGAGGACAACCAGGGGGACGAGGAGAACCTGGCACCGTCGGGGGGGGGTGGGGGGGCACTCCTAGGGGAGAAACCCTCGTGGGAACGAGGAGGCCCTCATCGATCCCAGTGGCCCTCGTGGGAACGATAAGGCCCTCATCGATCGCAGTGGCCCATGGCGGGGCGGGGGGCGGGGGCAATCCCAGGGGAGCCCCTCGTGCAAACGATGCGGCCCTCGTCGTTCCCAGTGGCACTCGTGGGAACTCGAAGATTGACAGAAGACCCTTTCGCAAAACCCCCTCTAGTGAAAAATGCCATGGGCGCTCCAAGTGCGCACTGCACCGCATTTCGAGTGGACCACAGCTGGGTAGCTAATCGACGTCCAAAAACAAACGAACGTACGGCGGAACGCACGTTGATCAGCGAAACCGACCAGGGACTGCAACGGCACACTTGACTGCCAATGTCGAGCGAACCAATTCCGATTTTCTGTCGACTTGTCTGGGGGGCGTTCCTTCCAGTTGGCGGCGCGCAGGGGGGGGCAGGGGGAGGGGAGAAGGCTTCGTAGAGGAGGGTGCTTCTCAGAAGGCGCCGGCCCTGCATCTGTAGGAGAGGACCGCGCCGTCCAAGAAGCAGGGGTGCTTCTAAGAAGCCTTCCTCCCTCCCCCTGCCCCTTCTGCGCGTGGCCGAGCAATGTGGCCCGTGGCGATGTGCAGTGTCGCGGGGCGGGAGGCGGGGGGGCTCACCCAGGGGAGGCCCTCGTGGAAACGATGAGGGGCTCTCAAGGCCCCATCGAGGGGCTCGCCTGGAGGATGCTCAAGGAGGAGGAGGTGGAGGAGGAGGAGGAGGAGGAGGAGGATCGAGGAGGAGGAGGAGGAGGAGGAGGAGGATCGAGGAGAAGGAGGACCGAGGAGGAGGATCGAGGAGGAGGAGGAGGAGGAGGAGGAGGAGGGAGAGGCCTTCGATGATCGGCAAGTTCATTTGTTCCACCTCTGCTGACTACTACTTGCTGTTGGGTTTGGCAGGCCCCGCCGGAACTACCAGCCCAGATCCCCGTGCGTCGGGAAAAAAACGATGGGAGGGAAAGTGGCCCCTGCTTTCGGCTTCTGGGGGGCCCGTACCGGGCATCGGGACCATCGAAAAACAACTCAGGATGGAAAGCTGGTCGCCAGGAGCGGGGTCCAGACGTCTGGGGGTCCACGTGGTGAAGAAATCGTGACGTCGGGAGTCAGGCCCTCGTGGGAGCGAGGAGGCCCCTATCGTTCAAGACGAAGCCAGGACCCCGCGGGACAAAAACGGACTGGGATCCGCCGGCCCCATGGCGGGGCCAACAGGCTGCGAAGATTAGGCTGTCATGCTCCCTGCACCAGTTCCAGTTTCAAGTCTCCAATGTTACAGTCCTGCTTTCTGTTTCCTGCTGCAGATTGTTGCTGAACGCGCGAGGGGGGGCCCAAACCAGCCTTGTTACCACGCCCAGATCGCGGTGTCTGAATTCCTGGAGGGGCGTGGGACACGTAAAAATACATCATGCTCGCGTCCCCGAGGCCGGAATCCCTACTAAATTACACCATAATCGCGCCCCCGAGGCCATTAAACCTTTGAAAATTATTAAAAGATTGCGTCCAAGAAACCATCTAATCCTTCGTAAATCACGCGATGTGTTCGTCCCCGAGCCCATAAACCCTTGTACATTACGAAATGCTTGCGTCCCCGACGCCATTAACCTTCGTAAATTACACCGTGCTCGCGTCCCTGAAGCCATACAACCTCGTAGTACACAACAGCTGCGTCCTCGAGGCCATAAATCTTTCTAGGTTACACAACACTCGCCTCTCCGAAGCCATACAACCTCGTAAAGTACGCAATAATTGCGTCCTCGAGGCCATAAACCCTCGTAGATTATGCAATATTCCTGTCCCCGAAGCCATGCACCTTTGTAAATTACGCGATGCTCGCGCTTCCGAAGCCATAAACCGTCGAAAATTATAACAGATTCGTAGTTGTGAGAAAATCTGCAGTTTGTGAAGTCCTGACATTGCTTCACGGCAGCGTCCAGACAGCCCAACACAGCTCTGGCAAGTCCCATTCTACGAGAGGGGGGCCGGCGGCAGGGGGCGAAGCCCTTATCCGCCCGATGATAGGAAATGGCAACGATGAGGCTCAGTGGCCCCACCATCGGACTTCAACAGCCCCTCATCGTGAGAGGCTCCTGAAGTCCGATCGAGGGGCCACTGAGCCGGACTGGGCCGGATCAGGTCCCAGGACTGAGCCCGTCTGGGCGGGAATAGGCCGAATCGTACAGGGCTCGGCCAGAGAATGGTCGTTTCCGACCGAGGATATTAAGCTGGTGCAGATGCTGGATCGAGCCTCCCCGGAATTGCAGTCGAGGGCACCCGCGTGCCGAAGCAGCCCAGACTGCAACCTGGCGCTGGTGGAGCTCAGGCGCCGGAACTTCGGACTCGACGGGTTCTCGGCCACGTTCTGCAGGATCCTCTCCAGAAGCGCCAGCGCCCCCTCCGCCGCCTGGCGCCGTGACGATTCTATGCCTCGCTCTCATGCAGCTTGTTTTTGGTCTTGCTGTTGTTTCCTCCTCGTTCTCGTGCACATGGGGAGTCATTCTGCGCATGCAGCAACACACACGCACACACGACACGCAAACCATTGCAGCTGCTCTGGGCACGCTGCACGATGGACCCTGGGAAGCGTGAGAGACGCCAGAGTCGACCTCTCTATCTCACGCCCTCTGGCTTCCGCCAAGCTTTTGCTGAGGAAGACGCCCTTGTTTCGCCGGCCTCTGTGGACCCTCCGCTGGCTCCCGCTGATGGGGGGAAGTTGACCGATCGTCCCGCCCTCCTGGCTCGCTCCGAAAGTGTATGTTCACGTTTGTATTTTCCTTCCTGCTAATAACTTCTTCGTCTGATACGAGGGCCATCTGTCTGGTGATTTGCGCAGGATCTGCTCGTGCAGTCGAGCGTTCACACTCTGTCTGGCCTCCAAGTCCGCGTTCGGATGTCTCGAGTCTCGCGCCGAGCGGTCCAGCTCGTGACTGTCTTGCACGCTGGAAATGGCATAATTCGATTGCGGTGGGCGTGGCGGCCAGGGAGCGGGGAAAGGCGTAGACCCAGACGGGGGGGGTGAGGAAGGGGACAGGAGGAGGAGGGGATGAGGAGAGGAGGGGGGGGAATGGGCGAGGAGGGAGGACGGACTGGAGAAGGAGAAGGAAGAGGGGAGGGAAGGAGGGGGAGGGCTTGGGGGGGAGAAGAGGGAGGGAGGGAGTGGGGGGGGCCCCATCTGTTCCAATGCACTGGCGTACGGGCCGTTCCAGGAATGGCCTCCTAAATGTGCGCAGCGCCGGTCCAAGAGATCCGCGCGCACCTCCGAACGGCTACATGCCGTCACTTATGTTTCGACCCTTGGCCCCCGACCACACGGTGGGGGCATTGGATAAGGAAGCACTGGATAAGGAATCCAGGGTCTGGAAGCCAGCGGAACTCCAATCGCGGATTGGCAGTGGATGCTCTCACCAGATAAGGCAACCTCCACGGTCTGAAGCCTCCCGCACACGTTCCTTAACCAACGCCCCCACCGTATTGTCTGCGCACCATCCCAGAGCCCAGGATGGGTCCCGGAAGCCCTAAGCCTACCACGCATGCAATCTCTTGGTGGGCCGATTCTCACTTCTGCAGGCGGCGCCGCCCCCGTTTTGCCTCCGCCGCCTTCCTCCCGCCATCCGCCGCCTCCCGCCGGGGAAGAGACGGCAACCTCGCCGTCCCTCAGAAAGGCGGGGCACTCGCCAGAGCGTCCTGCACATCCGCCACCGTGCCTGGTGCACGCTGAGGCGTGGAAGAATGCCAAGGTCTGTCTGGTTGGGTTTTCTCTTATTTTCGGAGGGACTCCCACCCCCCTCCCAGTCGCACTTGCTTGCGCGCACCCCCCTGCTCTCCCTGGCCATAACCCCTCGCAAAATAAATCAGATTCGCGCTCCCGTGGCCCAGATGCCTCCAAGACGGCCTCATATGCCTCCAAGACGGGCCACGTTGGACGCAAGACGACCCAAGAAGTCTTCAAGACGATCCACGAGGCCGTTGAGGCGTCCCAAGAGAGCCCCCAGAGCCTTCCCAAGAAGCCTCAAAGAGCAAGAATCACTGGTTATCCTGAGGTGTTTCGATGTGTTTCGGGTTCTCGCCTTTTCGAGCTTCCGACGTCCCGAGACGAACCAAGAAGCCACCAGGACTGCCCCAAGACGGCCAAAGAGGCCCCCAAGAGGGCCCCAACACGGCCCAAGAGGGCTCCAAGACGGCGCAAGAGGCGCGCACGAACAATCATGAAGCCCCCAAGAGAGCTCCAAGACGGCCCCCAAAGGGCTCCGAGACGGCCCAAGAGGCGCCCGCGACTGCCCAAGAGGGCCCCAGACGGCCCCATGAAGGGCCTGGGAGTGGGAACACGAATGCAAAATCCGAGCTTTCTGCCCCTCGAGGCTCCCATCAGGCCACCTTGCCTTCTCGAGTCGTTGCCGCCCAGATTGCTGCGCTGGCACGGTGACGGAATTGCTGGAGGCAACTAGATAAGTAGATACCCCCCTGCGGAGGCAGACCCCTGAGGCCCGGCCGGGTGGGACGCAGAAGGACGTGCTAGTGCTATGCGAACCCCTTGGAGGCCCACGTCCAAGCCGAGCACAGAACACAAACATATGAAAGCATCTCGTCACCTGGGCCGTATGGCCAGCTCCTCCTCCTCCTCCTCCTCCTCCTCCTCCTCCTCCTCCTCCTCCTCCTCCTCCTCCTCCTCTCCTCCTCCCTCCTCCTCCTCCTCCTCCTCCTCCTCCTCCTCCTCCTCCTCCTCTCCTCCTCTCCTCCTCCTCCTCCTCCTCCTCCTCCTCCTCCTCCTCCTCCTCCTCCTCCCTCCTCCTCCTCCTCCTCCCCTCCTCCTCCTCCTCCTCCTCCTGCTCCTGCTCCTGCTCCTCCTCCTCCTCCTCCTCCTCCTCCTCCTCCTCCTCCTCCCCCTCCTCCCCCTCCCACCGGGCAGATTCTATCAGACCTCTGAGCGCGCGCGTCGCCCCTGGGGGGCCGACGCGCACGTAACACGAGCATGCTTGGGCGGTGCCCGCCTGGGGCCCTGCAGACGCCTGGAGCCGCGACAGCAGCGTCTCCAGCTCCATGGCGCGCCGCCCGTCGCCGGCTCCGAAGGGTGTGGCTTGCAAAGGGTGCGATTTGCAGCCCGCACCCCTGGGGGGCAGGCGAGGACCTCCTCCTCCTCCTCCTCCTCCTCCTCCTCCTCCTCCTCCTCCTCCTCCTCCTCCTCCTCCTCCGCTCAAGAGACCACCAAGACTAGGAGGCCCCAAGAGAGATCCCTGAGAGGCCCCCAAGACGCCGCGTCCTGGTCCGCAACCTCCTCATCCTCCTCCGACTCCCTCTCCTGCTCCGTCCCCTCTTCCACCCCCAATGTTCCCCGCAGGGGGTTCCACAACGGCGGGGCGACCACGTAGTCCAATAGCTTGGCCAAGTTTTGGCCAAATACTTGGCCACATCGGCGCTTCCAGGGAGGCAGGGGGCGGAGGTCACTCGCCGCAGGCGTCTTCGATCCGCCGACCCCGTGGCCTGCGGAGGCGTGCGCGTGCAGGACTTTCGAACTTCCATATGTGGCCCTGCCAAGAAGCTTCCCAGTGGGCTCCCAGCCCCATGCGCCGGCCACACGGACCTTCTGGCGTCCGTGCACGCATCCGCCCAAGATGGCCAGGCAGCAGAAACGGGCCAATATGGCCTCCAAGACGGTCCCAAGACGCTCCCAAGATGACAAAGATGGCCCCAAGTTTGTCCGAGGTGGTCTACGACGGCCCAAGAGGCGCCGAAGACGCCCCGAAAGCGGTCCACTAGAACATTCAGGAGGCTCCGAAGAAGCACACATCTCGGACGCGAAGAAATAAATCAATCTGGGAATTTTCAATTTCTCCTTCCCGGCCTTGCGTGTGAATAAGACGGCTCACCAGACCCCCAAGATCGCGGCCCCAGGGACCGCCGAGAAGGCCCAAAGAGAGACGCTCAACGGCGCCAACACGGCTCATGAGGACCCCCCTTTACAGGGCTCCGAGAAGGGAAAGATATGCCATTCTGTCAAGTTGGGGCCTGATGGAAAGAATTCAACATGTACGCCCTCTCAGTCTTCACAGCGCCAGAGAGGGTCCAGCAGACCCCCGAGCATCGCCCGAAGGCGGCCCCAGAGCCCCCCAAGAGGGCTCCAAGAGGGCCCCCAGACGGCGCCAAGACGGCCCAGGGAGGACCTCAAGGCGGCCCAGCTGACCCCCTTGGACAGCCCGAAGACGGCGCTTGCAGAAGGCGGGAGGCCACGGTCATCCGCCAAAGGCGTCTTCGATACAACCCAAGATTATTCAGCACTGCTTCCCCAGAAAAACTCCAAGAACGGCCAACGTTGGCCCAAGGCGGCCCCGAGACTGCCCAAGAGGCCCGAACAACTCCTCCATGGGTCTCCGAGCAGAATCCCGATACGCAAGCCTCCAGGAGGCAACGCCAGCTGAAACACGTGAGTCCTGCCCTGCCGCGAGCGAAGCGGTCGAGTCCTCGTTTTCCTCCACCGCACGGACACTGCGCGCCCCCTTCGCCCAAGCTCTCTCCCTGGCAGTGTTTTCTCTGGCGGGAGGGAGCGAAGGTGATGGTGGAGAAGCGAGGCGGGGAAGGAGGTGGAGCGGGATATGCATTTGTTTCAAGACGACGACGACGACGGCGACGACGACAACGACGACGGACGAATGATGGGGAGGGAAGGAGGGAAGGAAGGGGGAGGGAGGTGGACCAGGATGAACGAAGAATGAATAGGGAGGAAAGGAGGGATAGACAGCCGGCCTCCTCTTCGGAGACTTTGGCCCAGCGCGCCTGGCAGCCGCATATCCCACATGGCCGCTCGCGCCACCCCTGGGAGATGGACCCAGACGCCAGTGACAGCCATGCCCGGGGCTGCCGATCTGGACATCAGCCGGTCCCATCTAGACAAGATGCCTACACGGAGGTAGACGATTCCACCCACCTCGGGCCCCACCAACGGCTCAGCGTTTGCCGAGACCAAACGGACCTTCCCTCGCTGCAGCTCACGACATCATGGGCGTCGGGATCCCGAGGCTGTTGCGCACGGACGCGCGACGATCGTCCGTCCCCTTGTAGGAACAAGGAAAAACGACGCCACCACCACCAGTTCGAGGGTCCAAGGGGGGGGGGTCCTCATGTTGGCGTGGTCCCCCCTCCCCGCTCGGACGTCCCCCAGCCCCAGCTCGGGGAGGCATCGTGGACCTTCTATCTGGACGTGGCACCCCTGGTGGTGGTGGTGGTGGTGGTGGTGGTGGTGGTGGTGGTGGTGGTGGTGGTGGTGGTGGTGGTGGCGGTGGCGGTGGCGGTGGCGGTGGTGGTGGTGGTGGTGGTGGTGGTGGTGGTGGTGGTGGTGGTGGTGGTGGTGGTGGTGGTGGTGGTGGTGGTGGTGGTGGTGGTGGTGGTGGTGGTGGTGGTGGTGGTGGTGGTGGTGGTGGTGGTGGTGGTGTTCGTGGTGGCGGTGGTGGTGGTGGTGGTGGTGGTTGTGGTGGTGGTGGCGGTGGCGGTGGTGGTGGTGGTGGTGGTGGTGGTGTCGCTCTTCTCTCCTCCGACCTTCTCTGGGCATCCTAGGGGTCGCTTGGAGCTCGACCGAGGGCACGCCAGGGAATATCCCAACACATTGAGTCTCACTGCCTCACAAAACACTCTTGGAAAAGGCATCTGGCGCTCTTGGAAAAGGCCGCGTCTCTATCCTTGGGCACGACCATGGCCGCCTCGTCACCAGCCGCGCCGATATACCACTCCTCCGCGCCTGCGACGCCCCTGGAGGAGCCCACGGCCGCACCCCTAGGCTCAACCACCTCGGCAGCCCCAAGCTCGCACATCTCCACGTCCTCCACCGCGGCGATCGAGCGGGACTAAAACTCGTGTGGGGCTCTGCCAGAACTGGGCTCAGCGGAACCTGGCCTGGTGCTGGGCAACACCTTCAAGTCCGTGCGCTGCAGAGAAAAAAACGTGACGGGCGGCTATTCGTCGCTCTCGGCCCCTGAAGGCCGTCTCCCGTCCCCAGGACAATCACAAAACGACTAAGGATGAGAGGCAAACCTTCTGGGATCGGCGTGGGGGTTACCAAACGGATAATGGGGCGATCAGTGGATGTTAAGGTGGGCTTTATCTGGCCTAAATAAAAGGACTACAAAGGGCCCCAAATGGCTCAGGGTGGTTAGCGATCAGGGCTGAGTGGGACCCGCCCACTTTGCGGAATTGACCAGACCCCCCGAGCCACGTGGGGCATGTGTAAGCCACTTCCAGAATCCGCCGATCCTGCGTGAGTTTAAAAATCTACAGCCTGAGCTTCAGCTCTGCTGAGGGGGCTGCCAGGGAGGATCTGCGGGGGAAAGAGGGAGCGGAGGGGAAGTGCCTTGCCGGGGCCGGGGCCCTGGCTAGGGCCTGTTTACTGGTGGATGTTGGCTTCACTGGTGGATGTGGGCCGTTTACCGGTGCATGGGCGTTTAAGCAAGGCAAGAGCATTCACTGCTAAACACGATTACCAGTGGATGTACCACAGCTTCCGGCGGATGTAAACTTTACCAGTGGATGTTGTCAAAGACGCCAAGACGCCAAGACCATTCACTGTGGCCAAAACGCTGGAGTGCGGGGGGCAAGTCTACGCACGACCTACGGTGGGATCCTGGCCCTCTCGTTCCCCCCGCGCACCCTTTCTCGTGATCGCCCACCCTTCCCCAACCTCGTCGACCATGGCTTTTACCCCAACACATCAACCTTAGTTTAACGCGTCAATGCGCTTGCACGCGCGCTAGTGACCCTGAGGCGGCCCGACCCACCCTCCTGGATTCCCGGTGGATGTTAGATTACAGGTGGATGCAGGTTTTCCTGTGGATGTGATGGATTACCGGTGGATGATAGCACTGCTAAAATTTACCGGTGGATGACCAAAATGCTATACGATTGTCGGTAGATGAACATGTTGTGCAACCAACATCCATCGTCAAAAGGTAACGTTGAAGAGCCTTGTGGGCTGGGGCCGGGGCCGGAGCTGGGGTCAGGGCCGGGGCCAGGGCTGGGGCCGGGGCCTCCTCCTCCTTTCTCATCCATGGCATCCACAGATAACCCCTCTATTCTTCTGTGGCCCTCCCACACCATCCTGCTGGCTCTTGCAAGTCGACGCTACTCGACACTAAATCTACGCTAATCTACGCTAATCGACGCCAGTCGATGCCCCAAATCGGCACTACCTCATCGACTACCAGACGCTAGTCGACGCCAGTGCACTCTAAGGGCACAGTTGCGAGGGCACACCAGGCTCCCATGTTTTGCTACCGAATTATCCCCTCAGCAGCCCCCCGCGCCGATCCTAGCTGGGGAAGTGGTCGAGATCCCCGGGGGCCCACGCTGCAGAAAGAATGCAGCGACGGACGATCGGGCCTCAATTGGGGCACCCCTCCCCGCCTGCCCCAGTCCGACAGCATCGCTCTGCTGCCTGCTGGCCAGCCCCGCTCCCCCTGCCCCAATCCAAGACAACGGCTCTGCACGAATCTGAAACTGACAGGGCCTGCTTGCCACGCGCGGAACGGGTGCGGACAAAAATGGATACGATGCCCAACAGCACATGTCTAAATCCGACCGCGGCCGCTGTGGAGCAGGCAGCTGTTTGTCTCAAATGGGCTCCGTCCGCGGCGACACCGACAGCGAACCCTGATCAAACAGTGGACAAGAGTTGCTGCGAGTCTTCGCCACCAGTCTTTTCTGTGTGCCCACGTCGGCCCCCCAGAGCTGTGGGAGGGGGGCCGGCGCCGCATTGCGGCAACTGCGCAGCGGCCCGCCGGAAGCGCTGTTCAACAGGGCGGGGCACGCGTTCCTGGAATCAGAAGATGTGTTATCGTCTTTACCTGCTTCGCTGGCTGCAGACAAGCAGTATCCTCCAAGAGCAGCGCGAGCGGACCCATTGGTGACATGCTAAATTCACGGCTTGAGCTGCTCAGTTGTTGAGACTCCATCCGCACAGTCTGCACCCAGAAGCGGGGACAAGGCGGGGCAGCGGCGCGGTACCTGCAGGAGCCCCCTGTCCTGAGGCGAAGCCAGGACCGGGACGAAATCGGACAGGGGATCTCTGAGATCCCCAGAGATCCAAGGCATCGACAAAAATCAAGACAAGCTTGTTTGGTCGATTTCGGCCTCTAGAGGCCCTCGGCTGGCCCTGGGGCCGTCAAAGCCTGACCCTGGGAAGGGGGTCGAAAGCTTGTCCCTGTGCCGATTCAGGATGACAAGCCTGTCCCTGGGAGTGGGTCCAAACTTTTGGGGACCCCATATTGACAAGATCAAGACATCGGATCTCTGGGTCCAGAGGTCCTGGAGAACGCATCGGGCGCCGTTGCCGTTCCAGAGCGCTCCCGACCGCTCTGAGATGGCTCCCGCACACTCTGGGGCGATGCATCCTGGTCTTAGGTCCGCCTGGCGCCCCCCCCCCCAGTCACTCCACCAGAGTGGAAAAACGCAGGCTACGGCACGCCTCGCTTGGTGACTCCAGCCGGGTCCCGTACCGCGCCCCCGCAGGTACCCGCGCGGCACGCTGGCCAGGGGGGAAGGGTCACCGACCAGAACCGCCGTTGACGATTGCCGAGAGGCCTGAGGCGATCTGCCTCGTGAGGCAGCAAGACGCAGCGCAAGCATCACAAACTGGAAGGGACGACCGCCACCCAACCGAACTGATCCTAGATGCCCCCGAGCGCACACGCACTAAACCTGCACCTGAGCGACGACAACGAACGAACTCTACGCAAGACGTGGCGACGTACGCGGCGGCCGACACGTGAAACCCGCGCGGCACGCTGCATTGGAAACGGGGGCGCTCGCGCGCCATCTTACGCAGACAGCCTACACCCGAATGCCCGCGCAGCGAGCCCGCTCTTCTACGCCGAATTGTTGCCGACGCTTCCAATCCACACTACTCGCCGGATTCCTCTGCCCGAGGTCCTGGCTCGATCCGACGGTGAGCGTCTCGAGCGCTGCCAGGGCGCCTTCCGCCAGGCGCGCCCTCTCCGACGCCAACCCGGACGCCTCCAGCGCCTCCTCCGCGGAGCCACACGGACCCCGCACGCCCGCACCCCGCGCCAACGGCATCCCCTCAGGGTGCGACTGGACCAGCAGGAGGCGCGGTGAGGCTGCAAGGCCCTTGGACGGCCAGATTGAAGCCGAGGCTGGAAGCCCATGGCCCACGGCTGAGGGTTAGGATTTGGCCGAGAGGCAGGGATGCATGGGCAACTTGGAAAGGTACCGCCGAACATGTGATTATGCAAATGATCATTCAAGAATGCTGGGCCAACTTTCCGGAAGTTTGAGGCAAACCTGGGCCAGGTGTTCGTGTCAACACTGGAGGGGCGCACACGCTCAAGAAACTGGGCCAGCTTTCCGCCAAGCTGGTGAAAAAACGTTGGCCCAGCTTTTCGGGAGGTGGTTTCTTAACAGATGCCCGACTGTACTTCATTCTCACGAGGCTGTAAGACACTACCATGAGGGAAAGGGGTCCAGGGGGAAATGGGTCCTGAACCCTAGAACCTTTCCTGGGACAGGCTTTTCAACCCCCTTCGTTTTTGACGTTCCAGGGCCCAGGCAGGCGACCCCCATGGAGCCGAACACGGCGAGGAAGCGTCAGGGCCCGTTTCCCTCAAGGAGGGGCGGACGGAAGGTAGAGGGCGCGATGGAACAGAAGGAAGAACGGTGGAAGACGACGTGGGAGGGGGATTGGGCAGCGGGGAGGGCTCCTCCAGATCCTCCTCCTCCTCCTAATCCTCCTTCTTATCCTCCTCCATTCCTTTCCCTCATGAGCAACTCATCCCTGTTTCACCCCGAGACCAATCGGAAAGGCGGGCCAGGCGTTTCGCCTGAGACTTCCTTACCATTGACGAGCCTGAAGCGTAGAAGCTGGCAACAGTTTCACACATAGAGAGCGGGTCGTTCTCAACATGTGGCTCTCGCGTTAGCGCCGCGCACACTCGCCTTAACAAGTAGCAAGAGCTTCACGGATTGAGGGCGGCTCGTTTTCAAAATGGTGGTCTCGTCTTAGCGCAGCGCAAATTCGTCTTTCACATGTGCAAGAGCTTCGCGGATCGAGGGAGGTTCCTTTTCAACATGTGGCTCTCGCTTTGGCGCCATAAAGGATCATTTCAAAAAATGAACAACACATTGAGGGCGGTTGCTTGAAAACAAAACTGTGGCTCTCACCTTAGCGCCGCGCACACACGATCTAAACATGTACCAGGATTTTGCTGATTTCCATGGTTACCGTACCAGGGATGGTGTTTGGAGCAATTCTAGACAGTAAGGGCGCAACAGTTACGTTGGTTCGCGGTGCTGTTGTCCCAGGACTGGAGTTTTGGCATGATTCAAGATCGTCAAGACAGAACGGTCAAGATGATTCGTGGCGTTGCAGTCCTGCGAAAAGTGTTTTGGCACGTTTCAGGATTTTCAGATGGTTGTTTCCCAACGGGGCTCTTCCCTCAGTGGAAACGAATCCTTGCAACTGCCTATGAAGAGGAAGCTTGGAGGGAGGATGTATTCCAACATTGTTGATAAGTCTTGGGTGTTCACTGGTCCTCCTCCTACTCCTCCTCCTCCTCCTCATCATCATCATCATCCTCATCCTCATCCTCATCCACATCATCATCCTACTCCTCCTCTGCTCTCCCCCTTCTCATCTTCCTTATGTTTTTCCTCCTGCTCCTCCTGGTGATGAATTTCAATGGTGCGCGATTGATGTTTGGTGCTTCATGGGGGCTTGAGGTGGAGATGCTTGGCCGGGAGTGTAGGAGCAGTTTGTTTGGTGCTATGTGTATACACTCAATGATAGCGCGGTGTGTTTCAATAAGCCACAGGCAAGAACATGCAACCACTTAATTACATCTGCCACCGTGACTGCGCGGAGTGGGCTTGATATAATACTCCTGTTGTCCCTCTGGGAGTGTTTCCAATGATTTCTAGGGCCGATCCCCGCCCCCGCACCTCAAGCAGGATTTTTAATTCGATCCCCTGAAGTTGCTCCCCGGCGCTCTTTTCGGCCTCCAGGCGGCCAAGGTGGCCTCCAAGACGGCTTCCAAGACAGGCAAGACGACAACAAAACGGCTCGAGATGATCCAAGACAGCTCAAGAGCCTGTCAAAACAGCCTCAAGACGGCCCAAGAGGGCCCCAAGTCGGCCCAGAGGGCTCCAAGAGACCCCCAAGACGGCTCAACGAGCTCCAAGAGGCCTTCCTGGAGAGACCGAAGGGGCAAACCATTGATTCCCCGTATGTTGTTGAAAGATGTTTCGGTTCTCGCCTGCTCGGGCTTCCGACCGCCCAAGACGGCCCAAGAGGCCCCCAAGAGGCCTCCAAGATAGCTCGAAGACAACCAAACAAAATCCCAAGAGAGCCCCAAGTTGGTCCAAGAGGACTCAAAGATCGCCCAAAGGGCTCCCAAGAGGATCCAAAAACAGCCTTGAAGCAACCCAAAAGAGCAACAGGACTGCCCACAGAGGCCACTTGGGCTGTCTTGGGCGGTCGGCAACCCAAGCATGCCAGAACCTCTAAATCCTTCAAAACCTGTAGGAACATCTGTGGTGTTGGCCTCCTCGGGCTCTCCTGGAGGGCCTCTTGGGGACCTCTTGGGCCGTCTAGGGGGCCCCCTGATCTGTTTAAAGGCCTTCTTGGGAGCCGCATGGCCTCCACGACGGCTTTCAAGGCAGCCAAGCTGACACCAAGATGGCTCAAGGCGGCTCAAGAGGCTCCCAAGGCAGCCTCAAGGCAGATCAAGAAGCTCCCAGGACGGCCCAAAAAGGCTCCAAGAAGCACTCCTGGAGAGCCCGAAGGGGCCAAAGCCATTGATTTCCCGTGCATTGTTGAAGGATTTCAGGCTCTCGCCTGTTCTGGTTTCCGACCGACCGCCCAAGACGGCTCAAGAAGCCTCCAAGAGGCTTCCAAGATAGCTCGAATACAACCAAAGAAACCCCTAAGACGGCCTCAAGTCGACCCAAAAGAATCCCAAAATCGCCCAAGGAACCCCCAAGCAGACCTCAAGACGGCCATGACCGCTCCAAGAGAGCACCACTACGGCTTAGAGAGGCCCCCAAAGCGGCCTCCATAGGCGTAAGACGGACCAAAAATCCCCTCAGACGGCCCAAGTAGCCCCGAGAGGCCCCCAAGAAGATTTCAGGAAGCTCCCAGGATGCCCCCAGAAGGCCACAAGGATGTTCCTCCTCGTCCTAATTGTCTACCTTTTCTCCTCCTCCTCCTCATCCTCCTGCTCCTCCTACTCCTCCTGCATTCCTCTTCCTTCTAAAGAATTCCTCCCTGTCACATCCCAAGCCCGGTCGAAAGGGAGGGCCGGGCGTTTCGCCGGAGACTTCATTACCACTCACGAGTCTGAAGCTTTAAAGCTGGCAACAGTTTCACACATCGAGGGCAGGCCGGTTTCAAGATGTGGCTCTCGCCTTAGCGCCGCGCGGATTCGTCTTAAGCACTTGGAAGATCTTCGCGGATTGAGGGCGGGCCGTTTTCAAAATGTGGCTCTCGCCTGAGCACCGCGCACGCTCGCCTTGAACACAGTATAAGAGTTTCACGGACTGAAGGCAAGGGGGGGGTCAAAATGTGGTTCTCGCCTGAGCACCACGCACACTCGTCTTTACAAGCGCAAGAGCTTCATGGGTTGAAGAGGTTCCTTTTCGAAACGTGGCTCTCGCCTTAGCGCCACGCACAATCGTCGTAAACATTTGCAAGAAATTCTCGAGTTCCCATGGTTAACGTACCAAAAACTGCGTGTTGGAAGGATTCAAGATTGCCACGGCGCAACGGTTACGCAGATTCGCGG